ATAAGAAGATGGAGAGAAGAGGGACTTACCTGAAAACCTTAATGCCCTAAGCAAACATTCAGGGTCAAGGCGCCTGCACTATGTGTAGACAACATACCGTCACAAACAGCTGGCTATCGTGCAAAGATAAGGCGGCATCGGCGAGACAGCTTCCTTGCGGCTCTCACTACCCCGCATCATAATCAGCCATTACCCCACAGATAACTCAGCACCAAACACACTTTAAACAGGCAATCCGATTAGAAGACGGCAGTAGACGCGCCACTGGTGTCGGTTGCGAGCCATGTCCTGCAAAGTCTCGAGCCAAGCACAAGGTGAGTCACGTGGACTCCAACCGGGAAGGCGAGATGGACCAACGGCACCCAGTTTAGTTGTCAGTGACTTCATTTCCAGCTGCCAAGTCAACTTCTGCCCACCTCGAGCCTTGCGCCATCCTACACCTGGTAGACTGAACAAGACCCTCCTAGGTAAGCGGTGACCAGGCATGCGTAGCACGTGTCCGAGCCAACGCAACTTATTCAGTGCTATCGGTTGTTCTAGGGAGGTAGCATGATTATCACTACCTAGTACCCGCCTACGCACATCATCGTTGCGGACACGCTGGTGCCATCCAACACCAGCAATGCTTCGCAAACAACGATGATCAAAGACTTGAAGGCGCCTCAGATCTTCAGACCGAAGGGGCCAAGTTTCACTACCATAGAGCAGAACGGCCCTCACTGTGGCCTTGTATACACGGCCTTTCAGAAGAAGAGAAACTCCCTTCTGTCGCCAAAGATGACGCAAGTTCAAAAAGGCAGATCTGGCCTTTGCAATGCGTGAGCTCACGTCAGTTTCTATGCGCCCATCATTGCTGATGCAGCTTCCAAAATAAGTGAATTGATCAACCACCTCGAGTTCCTCGTTAGCAAGCGTCAAGTGATCATCAAGTGGCTGGTGGTCCTGCAGCAACACTTTGCACTTCGAAGATGCAAAGCGCATACCGAATAATGGGACCACTCTGGACAGGTTATTCAGGGTTGATTGTGCCGCCCCAACACTGCCGAAAACAAAGGCAATATCTTCCGCATAATTTAGGTCAACTAACCTTTCACCAGGCAGCACTTCAACGCCTACATCGTGAGATTCCGCAAGGGAACACTCCATGATAGAATCCACGACGAAATTGAACAAATTGGTGGAATCGGAGAACCCTGACGAACGCCACTTGTAGTCGAAAAGCTATCCGATAAGACACCATAGACCTTAACGCGGCCTGTAGTGTTCGAGTATAGAGCACGAAGGATGTTCACATATTTCGTGGGAACGCCTTTCCGCGCAAGTAAATCGAACAGAATCGATCGATCGACTGAATCGAACGCACTCTTGAAATCGAGGAACACAGCTATTGTCGGTCTGCGGTATGCGTGGCGCTGCTTTAGCATCTGCCGCAAAGTGAATATATGGTCTATACAGACACGTCCTGGGTGAAAACCGGCCTGCTTTTCCCTAATCCGAGATTCCCGTTCTGCAGTGAGGCGACGAACGATAATCGAGGCCAGTAATTTTGTCACAACTGGCGTTAGGCTAATACCCCTGTGGTTCGCACAGTCTGTGCGATTGCCCTTCTTGTATATTGCCACTATAACCGATAATTAGCGGGCACACACTCTTCGTACCAGATACGTTCAAATAGGGAGGTCAGTGCCCTGCAGAGGACCTCACCTCCATCCATAAATAGTGCAGGTGGGAGGGAATCCAGGCCAGCCGAACGAAAACGATTAAGGGCTGTGATCGCGTTTCGGACCTCGGCCTCCGACGGAGGCTCTAGACTAACTGTCCATGGCTCGTCCTGCATCACCTGAGTAGGAAGAGGTACGGGAGCAGGGGGCCAGCTGAACTGATCTTCAAAGTGTTCAGCCCAACGAGCCATACGGCGCTCCTTATTGTGTATCAGCGCACTCGCGCTGTCTCTGATTGTCTCACTGACGCCTGGTTTTCTGGGACCAGTGGTGCGGATTAGCTGGAAGAGTTTTCGGTAACTGCCTACTGCTCCTGCCTCCTCCATTTCTTGAGGCCGACTGGTCCACCAGGCTTCCTTGTCAGCACGTAGGCTCCGCTTTAGTTCACGCCTAATAGCTCGTCTGGTCGCATTGTGTTCAGAACCAGCCGGGAGGTGTCTTCTAGCTCCCAACAGGTTCACGGACCTCTCGGATATCCAGTGACTAGTGCGGTGACGACTGATAGTGCCAAAACCAGATGCTCCTGCGTCGTGCATGGCGGCCGAGATCCTATTCCACTGAAGTTCAGTGTCATTAGGATAAGACAGCGAGAGTTCGCTATGCAGTGCTTCTTGATAGGCTTGCCTGACCGAGGGCTGGGACAATTTCTCAGTTGCCAATCGGAGGAGACGCTTTGTGCGCCTTCCGGTAAAGTTCATGGAGAAACGACAGCGCACCAAGGCATGATCAGAGTCGACACAGGTACTCCAGTACGAGCGGAAATCCAGAATGGAACCGCGCCACCTGTAACTTATGGCTATGTGATCAATTTGGGTCCATGCTGGCCAGTTACAGGTGGGTGCCAAGTGGCACTTCGGCACCCACTGTGTCTAACAGCAGTGCTAGTAAGAAACAACTGGTGCTCCGCACACAGTTGCAGCAGACGCTCGCCGTTGTCAGTCCGTTCGGAGTTAAGTCCACATTTACCACCTAGCTGAGCTTCTGAAGAGCTCAGACGTCCTACTTGTGCGTTCATATCCCCGGCAAGTACTATAATATCTGAACTAGTAGCACTGCGTAGTAGGGTGTTCAGTTCGTGATAGAAAGTGTCCTTGACTGCATTAGAACTGCAGTCGGTGGGAGCATAAACGGAAATCACAAACATACATCGTTTTGTACAGCTTCGCGAATTCACCTTAGCTGATGTCGTCAAACGGGCTGCACATAAACGGCTGTTCACCGGAATCCAATCAACCAACGATGGCTCAGCCTTGGAGCTTAGAATGACACCTACACCAGCTTGACCCATGAGTGCCGCATCGGTGTCTCCGGATGCGTGCAACCAACGAGAGGATAAGCCGGGTGCAGTCAATTCAATAACCCCGTTAGGGTCATTAATCCTAGTTTCGGACACACAACACACATCAACACCCAGTGTGTCCAAGGTGCGTGCGAGCGCAGCCTGCTGACCTGCTTGTCTCAGAGTGCGGACGTTGAATGTCGCCATGGAAACGGGACAGCGTGGCCTTATAAGGGATCTTTGCCGACAGGCGTCCAATAGATGCTGTGGGATGGTGGCTGCAGATGGTTCTACTCCAGTAGCACTTCGGTTGCTGTCAATTAAGCTGGGAATTATAGAAGGAAGGTTAGTAATGGGAGCCGGGATGGGAGTAAGAGAAAAAGGTGGAAAAAAAGAAAGGAGGCGTCAGCAGTAGCATGTTTTCGCTTATCCGCCCTGCTGTATGCAGCAGATAAGGCGACCCTTGATAATCTGCGCGACGGCCGATACAGGATTAAGTTTATGTTTGAAGAAAATGTCATGGTTGTATGTGGACAATTAACCCAAGCCGGTCGAGTAAACGTAGAAGGGTCGCAAATGTCCCCGGGGTGACTTGCTTTTTGTGGATCTCCCTGCCCACGACGGTATCAGATGTATCATTAGATAGAAATCCCAATATCTTACTCCATTGCTGGGAAGGTGGAAAGTGCTGGACATATAGCCAAACCTGTTTTTTAATCTGGAGTATGGCATTCAAGAGGTAAAACGCTGTGGTGTGGGCATGGATGGTTGACAGACCGCGAGTGATGACGTAATCGATATGATCTAAAGTACGGGAAAGAAGTCTAAAAATGCAGAGAATTTGGCGCAGGAGTCACTAGCAAGGGATTTACATTCTTCGTCAGAATGCTTTGCTGTTTGGCATTGTTACGTTTCGTGTTGCTGGCAGGGTCATCAAATGTAGTATGCAATCAAGCAAGAACTTCAAGTGTTGACAAGGAAATTCTATTACATGACACGTATCCACTACAAAAGGGAATGTAGGTGAGATAAACCGGAAAGAAACTACAGTTAACCGCTGCCTCTGGGTTCTTGTTATTCTCCAGTAATTCCACAATAAAGGCGCTCTAGAAAATAAACAAGAAACTGTCGTCAAAACAGTGCTTCAAAGCTGGTTACGCTTCGTGGAGTAAGGCCGTAGCTTGACTGTCCGAGAATGGTCATCGCTTTCCGTATACAAGTCCAGTGTTGCTCCACGTCTTGCGGTGAATTGCAACTGGGTGCATATGCCAGTGAAGACTGATAGCTCGACCGAACAGAGGAATCATTTACTGTTTACATCACTTTCGCGCAATGTTTCGGAGTAGTAGTTACTACTCCTACAGATCTGAACTGTACGCAGCGCTCTCTTGCTTTTCAGAGTACCACAGGGATGCCTTTAAGACCACTACACCGGTAAGCCAAGTATGCGCAGAGAAGTCTGCAAGTAGAGCTCAGATGACAAAACTATTAAGATAGTTAAGAAAGTTGTTTGCAAACATATATCTTGCAACGGCGTTTACTTACATTCCTAAAGACATTCTCTAGGATTTAAGAAAGCTAAAATATATAGCAAATTAGACAGAAATTTAGTATACAAGCTTTCGTACAACACAAACGACAGGCGCTCACAAAATAATAAAGCTAGTTCAACATATGATGCACAATGCCAATAAATTAACACTGTTACGCAAACGCGTTACGGCTCTTATGATTAATAAAACCCTCTATTTCTTACATAAATACTTGAAAATATCCGTATGCTAATCAGAGTCGGATATGAAGTTGAAGGTACATGCGTGTACAACATGTAACTTTTCAGCAAAATGCAAAAATAATGCAGATGTGAAATAAATAACCTTTATGTGTAAAATATACAGCTTTCGTCACCTTGCTCATCAAAGGTTAGTCGTAATTATGCAGTAATAATCATATATGTATTTCAAAAAAAAGTCACGCGCAGCGGTGTGTTAACAACCTACCGAGGTTACTTCGAAATCCGTAATTAACGGACTTCAAATAAGCCGAAAGTAAGCTTGGTTGTTTGGTACAGAAGCTTTTGTCAGTGCAATTTAGTGATATTAACTAAATAACAAGTACTAAGTGCTTAAATCTAATTTGGCGTGTGAATTTGATTACAGATTTTTACTATGCGGTTATTTATTTTGAAAGACTTTTAGCTCGTATCACTACAGTAAACTAAATCCGTACTTTTAACTTCAATATTTTATATGCCTGTGTATACATATCTATTTAAAAAAGTGATAAATGCATCTAAACGCGTTTGTGTATGTCCATAACTTTTGCACTTTAATGAGCCTTCAAGGTTATGAATTTCAGGTATAGCTGTATTTGAGCTGTCAACAATTCCATAATGTGTATCCTTTACTTTTGTTATCTTGTCTCTAGTTTCATTCCTGTTATTTATCTCTCTTTGAAAGTTCAGCTGATTTGAAGGTCGACTACTGCAAATTGCTTTCCGCCTGTCTGTTACTTACGAGGTACCATGTTACTCGACCTTGAGCTCTGAATACGCGGGCTTTGCCATGGTAATGATATGTGTATTGCTTGTTACTCACAACCATGCTTCGACCGGTTAGCAGAAGTGTCATATAACAAAAGGTGTAGGCTTATGCGCTACTTAACCCTGCTCCATGTTGACGCATAATGGGTTGTGAAATAGAAATAGTCATATCAAATTGATTGTGTGCGATTACTGTGTACCACCCACACAAGGAAATGTTATTTTATATGTGGCAACATTCGTAGAGCATCGCATCCTCAAAGAGTTTACGGAGACGGTATGACGGCGAGGGAATAAAAGGAGGCTAGGACTGGCACCCACCAAATGACAAATTGTTCCGGCTTATTCCAAGCAAATACTATAATTAACTGCAGTTCCACAACCAACACACGGGGCGATTCTTAGCGGAGATTGCCACAAAGGGTTAAAGGGTGTGGCCCCTCATGTAAACTTAGCTTAATTTTTTATCAAGGGTTTGCATGCGAAGTCAAGTCATTTCATAATAAGAAGTGCCATCACAATTTGCCTCACAGAGAGTTATAGTTCATCCTGTAACATATTCTGTCAAGTTAAGCCAACGAAACTAAACGTTTGATATAGGCCGCCAACCGAAACAGGCAATTCATTCGACTACTAAGGGCTGATGTAAGCATCCTTAGGCAATATACTGCTTCTTACGCGCTTTGCTATATTTGTTAGTTGACCCGCTCCCAACGGCCGGATGAGACGCTAGTTCAAATATTCGGCCCCTAAACCGTATTGTCGTAAAGGCCCACCACGTCTTTAGCTGGCCGATAACATATACATTTCAGTTAAACACGTTGCAATATCTTATGGACGCAAGAATCAGCCGCGACTTTCACAATTATCTAGTTCTTATATCACACGATATTTTTACTGCATCGTGCAGAGCGACAAGGATCCCAAAGTCTGTTATGAAGCATATCCACTCCAGTATGGCGTCGCCAAATGAATCTAGGTTTGTGAAGGCGACTGCGCTTAGCTGGTCCAGCAAAGAACCTCAACAGTTCTAGAGGTCTATTGACCACTTGTACCTTAGTAAATATGAGTTTAGTGGAATCCCTTTTACTTTAGCGCAGCTAAAATGCATTTTTCCCACGTTCAGAATTGCGATAAGAAGAACGGTTAGCTTGGCTCTGAGACCAATAGATGGCAATTCATGCAACAACTTTAGAATTTTTCCTACCCCGTTCATTATGCGTAGAAGCACCTACGTAAAATTACCATACAGATTAAACTACCATCGTGTGAAATACTGTTTCGAAAGCCTTAACAAGCGTTCGTCAATTTTGTCACCTGCCTACTATGCATGTGCTTATTCCGTTCGCAGTGGAATCTTACGCGAATTCAACGATTTTAGTACAACAACGTCAAAAAGCTAGAGTTGGACAAACAGTGGTGGACTGGTGGTGACACCATAAACCAGTGCATTTTTAAATGCAAGAAACTCATAATTGTGCGGTTGCCAAAGGGTAGAAGGTTTTGCATGTTGTTTGGCTGTTGGAACCTATATAGTGCCGTTAGATAATTGTCAGTTTATTAAGGCGGCTCTTTTATGTCGCTTCAAATTTTACAGTCTATATGCCTAAACCTTGGTGGAAATGCTTCCGGGCAAGCCATATTTTCACTTTCTACCAGTAGATAAGCAACCATTATTCTAGAATATGCCATGGCCTGAGTATAACTGAGAGCAATAAATAACTCCGGAGCTTGTCAGTAATTACTTATATTCCCTATTTTATCGCCCCTAAGTCGCTCTTCTTTTACCTCCTATTGCTCCAAGCATCCTAGCATATCGATCAATGCATTATTTTACAGATATCTTATGGTAGAACAATTGCTATCTGACGTACTGTGTCTTCTTAGCCTTGTACGTCACTGATCGCTTATCCTTAAGCACTCTCTCTGTGTCCCAGGACCGCGCGCAGCTCATACTATTTCACGTTAACTCCTTTTAATGTCCTCAGTGTACTGCGTTTTATCATTTAGAACTTTCAGCACAACCTTTCCTGTGATAAATTAGTGCCTTTGGATGTTGCGAACCAAGATCAGGCTACTCGGCAATACTGTCAAATACGGGACTTTAACCCAAATGTTTCGCATGGCACGGTACAAGCGATACCAATATCGAAACAAACCGTTCCACTGCCTAGCCAATCCTCGGCGAGTTACCAATTAATAAGCGGTATAGCTCTGCCAGTGCGAGCCGCATGCTAGCCCCTTGACGTTTGGGGTATTTGTACCAAACTTACCTGGTCGTGTCCACGATCTAGTCTTATATCTACCTACCTGGAGTAGGTGGAATCGCAGCAACTGGCAAGGGAATTGGCAACTGAAATGGCGACATCAGCAGACCAACAGCGCGCTATTATTCAACAATAGCAGGCGCAGTTCGAAGCCGGTAAACGCCGTCTACTCAATATGCTGACTTGTAAACTTTTGATGCTTTCCAAGGAGAAGGTGACACGTTATGAACAAACAAATTTGGAGTCGCTTGTGTCTAAACTTCAGTTTCTCCAACATGAGGTATCAGTTAGTGTTACCTATGAATCCTGCTTCAAACACTAGGAGGACATATTTCGTGTTCATTTCGGTGCAAAGGAGGATGGATGATCACGGTCACCGCTTCGTAAGTTGGTGGCCGACGAACAAGACCGTTTCGTACATGACCATTTGCTGAAATGTCTGCGTGATTTTCCATTTTACGACCCATTTCAGGGCCTCACTCGCAGATTTGGCGAACGTTCCTTACACCTCTGCACACGCAATCGCTGTTTCAACTTGGTCAAACACTACAGTTATGACTACCTTACATATGCAGGTATAGTCAATCGCAAGTGCGTACCTTTTAACATGACAGCCATGACATAGACACAACTCAACAGTCTGTTTTGCTGCTGTGGTCTACGGTTTCCGTCAGAAACGAACCTGCGCACCCGACTTTCCACCAAACGTCAGCAAGGCTCAGACAGCACGTGAAAAGGATGACGAAGGAAGCTTAACGCCTGCTTACCATAAGGTGCGATTTCAGTATGATGGAACGGCATCAGAACATCATGGGATATGTTACATTGGTCAGATAAAAAAGAAGCAAAATCCAAAAGCCGCTCCCTGCATATTAGCACTGTAGTGCATGGCAATGGCATTACATTGCGCGGTTCGCCGACATCGGTGTAAGCACTGTCAAAACCTTGCTCGCAGAGATCGTTTCCGCAAGCCCCACAACTCCACTAACACTATCGATTCCAACAAACAATCTTTGAAGGCACCACAGAAGGCTGGTCGCAGCGGGGTTGCTACCCAACAAGCAAAGAGGATATCACGAAGGCCCTACCTTATAATGAATATTAATGGTTAACTAGCAAAAAATCAGGTGAGATGCTGGATAAATAAATAGTGTGATGGGGCTGGAAATGATGATACTTGCAAATGCCAAAATGCCCAAACAAATGTCACTGGCCAGGCCGATAAGGAGTGAACATGTTGACAGAAACAGCTTAGTCAGCCAAACCGGAAACACTCGGTCCCTACTCGCCTTCATTCTGCAAATATCCACTGTACGTGCCCATGACCAATCAGGCGCTAGCATGAGAAGGAGCGTGTACTCGTGCATTCTTGAGGCAAGACTTGTGGCACTGGACACAGAGAAGAAGCGCGCGGGCAAAAGCTTGTCAATCGTACATCCACTAAGAAAGTCAAGGTGCTTCGAGCCAGAGTGAACTTGACGGGCAAACACCGACCAATGATAAAGGAGCCAGCGACACCATGCATATAACAGGGATGAGCCAATGAGACGGACTATTGTAAATAGTGTATATACTCTGTAAATATTCGAGCGTAATCTGAATAAATGACTTCGTGATTGCGGTCCGATCGTCTTGCATCCCGGTGGACTTCACGACAAATAGGTTTTTGTTAGCTGTGGGGAGCGCGCTTATAAATGCGTGACCATGGTAATACAAACATGTATGACCGGTACTTGCACAAAATTAGTACAGGTTAACCAGTAACATGTGTACGTTTGCAAGTTGTTGTTTGGGTGTATGTGAAAATACTCACCATCATTTCACAATCCATTTTGTAAGCCATCGGACGTTGTCCAATCCTGTCAACGAAAGAAACTTCCCTCAGTGTAACAGGAACGTCTGTCAGCTTGGTTTGCGTGATACGTTGTTTGAGATCCTATAAGAATAAATATTTGAGTCCATATGTTACCTCATTATGCAGCCAGGACAGAACATTCTTTGCATTGACTAGCTAGATAATTTAAACCTTTGGCGTATGCTTTTTGTTTTAGTGTACAATCTGACGCTGGATATCATTCCGGCAGCCGTAATTATCGATGCAAAGCACCAGCAGAGGACTTAACGGCGGCTGTCTCGGCGACACCACATAGTTTTTAGCACGGCCTCAGACCTTGTACCAAACTGAAAACCCAAGTACAGTTAAGAACGGTT